TCATGTAGTGCAATCTGCAGCTAGTTACTGCACTCACTGATTCACTACATGCCTAAATTATCATTTGAATTTAGCAGTATATCCAGCAGCCAGTTTTTGTATACATTTTGCATGGTAGCCGACAGTTTGTAGGAGGGGGGGGATTAAAAAATTTTTATGTCGAAGTCTGACCTTCAAAGCACCTTCAAACTCTAAAGTCAACCAGCACAGACTAACCACTCAAAGCAGCAGTTGGCAAAGAAGTCGATTGTTGAGTGTGGTGGAGTGTAGCTTCACTTCCTCGTGAAACATAACCTGACAGCCGGTAAAACAGGTCATTGTTGTGTGGAGTTCTCTCACCAATGCTGGTGACGCCAACACTTTGAAGAGTTTCGGATTACAAAGTCAGGTGACTGTTGTTTTGGTGCTATACAAATAAAACTACATAGAACATGTTCTATATGCCACATAAATATAAAACAATGATTCTTGTAAGTGGCTTAAGTCCTTGCTGCTACTAATAGGTCCTGTCTGCTTGGGGGCATGCCTGCTACCGTCCACTGCAAGTAAAGGGCAAACCACACGGGCCTAGGCACTGCTCAGTGACCACCTGCCAGTGGTTGTCTCATATTCTGGTTTGCTTTGCACTTTTGTAAGTGTTTTCAGAAGAGTCAGAATCAACAATCACAAGGTTTATGGTGCTCTTTGTGAGCGATTCCACCTAGCATTAGACACCAACCTCCAGCAACCACTCCCCAAGCGGTTGAGGAGTAATTGAGGTGTAATTTTACAGTCACTTTTTGGCATCCAACCTGTTGGTTTCTCAAAAATAAAGACGCAAATCCCCATCCACTATACTAAAACTGTCTTTTTTTTTTTAAATTTTATTTCTTTTTTAGTTCACCCAGCTCTATTGAAAAAACATTATCAAAGTGGCAGTATAGATTGATAGACCAAAATATAGACAAATACCAGCATGTGCCCACTTATAAATGGTATTTTTAAGGATAAAATCCCCACCAGAGCCTACCTGGAAGCACTGCATGCCTCTTTTGGCCAATATATCCAGGGTTGGAGGAGGACAAACTTTTTTGGCTAATAGCAAGAATTGCTGTGAAGCTGCTTCACAGGCAGGAATCTAGTAATGCTCATGTTTCCTTGTGGTGCCTGGTCTATGATTATAGAGATGAGATAATTGAGAAAAACAAACAAGATGTGATTGTGAAGAAAAACGGGAGTGCAGGGGAGAGAGGGGAGGCATGTCTCTTAGCCTGACCAAAAAAACAAACAAAAAAGGATCATGCATGCATTAACCCCTTTAAAGCTGCAGAAAGTGTGCACATCACAAGAAAAAAAAAAAAGGAAAAAAAAAGACCCTGGAACAAAAGACTGTAAAAGCTTTCTCTCCCCGAACATATCTAGCATCCCACATACAGCTGCCCTTGAAAACTCAGCCTACACTGAAATACTCCCTCAAATCGTGTGTCTTCATATGAATGAACAGAAAGCTCTGTCCCTGGATGTAGCCTCGCAGGGCCTGCTAAGGCGTTTGATCAAGTGTTTGTGAAAGAGCTACTGAAGCCTACAGGCAGGCAGGCAGACAGCAAGTTGATCCCTGATGCTTCACTCTAAATAATTGATCAAATGCATTATAATGCCCCAACTGGGCACCTGTGGCTGAGGTTTAATTGTTTACAGACAGAGGAAGTCTAAGCTTTTGACAAATGCTCTCAGAGGAACAATCCACACCTGACTGATGTGAAACCCCACCTAATACCAAACAAGTGGGAGAGCGATAGATCTTTGAATTAAATGATAAAGCGTTACAGACACTAAAATGTATATATTCACAACACTAATCTAACCAAACTCAAAGATATTAGAGATGATAATAATAAAAATGTCATGATATGAAATGGTAATTCACTTTATTCATGCTTGAATCCTTAAAGATCCTTGCTTTAAATTTAATGAGAAAATCCTTTGTTGGGTAGCCAACAAACGCTGCACTGGTAAAGTTAAAAATTGCGTTTTCAACGCTCTCTGTGCATCAGACTATATAGCACTTATATTACAAGTCTGTTAACTTTGTATTATGACTAAAGGTCACTGAGGTAATCACCCAAAGAGTCCTTTGTGTGTCTTTTCTCTCTTATTCTCCATTTGTGGAATTTTTCATATATTTGTTCTCCTTTTGTAATGTTAACATTTTCTTTGCAATTTATTCATTTAATTCTGATTAGAGATTCTTTTTCCATTTCAGTTGCACTTGATTTCCCTGTAACTGTTCTATTTACCACATTTTATGTAGATTTTGCAGTTCAATTTTGTTTCACATGCTTAAACGTTAATACATTTGTTTCAAACGGAAAGTACTTTCAGTTAGCTCTCATTTTTGAATGTGCTAAATAAAATTTAGAGTAATACATTTAAATTAATTCAATTGAATTCATTTATATAACACCAAATAACAGCAAGAGTTGCCTCAAGGCACTTTATATTGTAAGGTAGTTCCAACAATAATACAGAGAAAATCCCAACCATCACACGATCACCTATGAGCAAGCACTTGGCAACAGGGGGAAGGAAGAATTCCCCTTTAACAGGAAGAAACCTCCAGCAGAACCAGGCTCAGGGGGTGGGGTGGGGCATCTATAGTGACTGGTTAGTGGTGAGGGGAGGAAGACAGAACAAAAGTCACACTGTAGAAGAGAGCCAGAGAATAATAACTAATGATTAAATGCAGTGTGGTGTATAAACACTATGAGCAAAAAGATGCAAATTAAAGAAAAGAAAGTGCATCATGGGAAGCCCCCAGAGGCCTAAGCCTTCTGCAACTTATCTAAGGGACGGTCATCTGATCCAGCCCTATGATCTTTATCAAAAAAGGAAAGTTAAAAAGCTAATCTTAAAAACAGAGAGGGTTTCTGAATGGCCTGAAAGCTGATGCTCCCTCTTCTTGAAAGTAGTAATGAGTGAAGACTTAAGATTTAAGTAGGATACTTCCCCACACTAAAGACAGAATCATAAACTGATGCAAAAAGTAACAAAACAAACACACATCTCATGTGCAAAACATCTTCGGTGAGGACCCCCCCCCCATTCCCCGGAGTCTCCAGGCTTAAGCGAAACCTGGACACATGCAATTCATAGCCTGGTGTTTGCAGAAGACAACTTGTGAAATCTCAAAAACAATATCTCAGGCCAGTGTGACGACAACAACTTTAATCCTGTGCGTACATTTTTAAAGCCCTTTACAACATCTTGAAAGCACAAGTTTAACGCAGGTCCAGTCTTCCGATTAGTTAACTGGTTTATGTGTTTGCATTTCTGACTGCATGTTTTTACACTTGAAGATGGACAACTGGGGTTAACATCGTTTTATTACATGGACAACATTTCTGGTGCTCCTTGGCAGTGCATTTTTCCTTAGCTAGGCAACAAATGAGCAACCACAAACTGAAAGAAAAAAAAAAAAAAAAAAAAAAAAAAAAAAAAAAAAAAAAAAGGATAGCCGGCTTTCCCATTTGAAAAAGAGAAGTAAAACAAAGGCAAGTAAAGATTTAGCAGAAGTTTGTTTGCTAACAAACATACTTGATTTTATGATGTTGCACAAGTTATCTTGCAAGAGGGTGAGACTGCAGAGATGCTGAATGAAGCTTAACTGATAGAAACCCATTTTGTTTTTTCCATCTGACTTTTTGATTGTGTAGTAGCATCAATATCTCCAACTGACACCATCCTGGTCCCGTTTTTAAATGAAGATTCTACTAAATGTGCTTAATTGCAACTTTCAGTGATTTATACTGAACACAGATGTTGCGATAAAGAGGTTTGCCTTGCCATTTTGTTGCTGCTAGGCAGGTTTTTTAAGAATATGTTCGTAGAGGTAGTGCAACTACCAGGGGAGAAGAGAAAAAAAAAATCATGAATCACTCGCTCGCTCTCTGGGGAGGCCAACAAGCATGCGTTGACTTCAAGTCCTGCAGGTGCAAATGCCAACAACGTGCTTATTCCAGTCAAAATCAACTTCCTGCCTGTAATTGTTGACAAAGCACGGCCATCTATGTACTTGCATTTCAGGTTAACTTAGTTTCAAACTAAGTATGCCAACCAAGTGGGAACAGAGCCAAATCCTAGAGCACTTAATAAACATTTTACACATGTGTGTGTTAATCATTGAGAGACAAACCTCTTCTGAAAGTTTATATTTGTAGGAGACCTCAGAAATATCTCTGAGGGGAAAAAATTCAATAAACCCTCTGATGATTGCAACAATTCCATTTTCTTTCAGTCAGCATGTCACCATAATCATCGTGATGAAGTAATTCTTTGAGATTTTACCTAAGCCAGTGTGTGTAATTAGAAAAAGCGTGAAAGAGGAGGGGGGAATAAAAAAAAAGGCAGACTCCATTAGGTAGAGTGAGCAGTGAAGCCCGTGATTCTCATTACACACAGCTGCCTCAAATCATTATCACGGTCACCACTCACTCTCCATTTGCACAGTAGGCGACGATTAAACCGACCACGCAGACTAATGTTTGGCTGTGACTGCCTTTAATGTGATTAGTAGCAGAATCTGCGAGGAAATTAGAAGGTGTGCGCCTCAGCTAGAGCCTCGCCACAAATTAAGAGTCTCCTGTGCTGCTGAAGTAGTTCCCCCTTCCTCGTTTAAGTAGTAAAAACGAGGAAGAGTGGCCACCCCACAAGAAATGCTGCACGAGTTTCGCGGTGGCTGGCTGCCACGTTTGTGCGCGATGTGCGAGGAATGCCAGCAGAGTCGCAGCTGGTCCTCATATCTGCGTAATTTGTTGGAGTTGCGCTACAGAAGCCTCGAGCCACCCCTCCCTTCTCTGTGTCGCATCTCTGCCTACACGTTGACAGCCTGTCGCACGGGCACTTGAAGCTCTGAAGCCCCGCTTACAGTTACAGGAGCACGAGCACACACAGACATACACGGACAGAGACGCACACAGGGGCGCGCGCGTGTCTCCACAAGGCGATTTGAAGCGTGTACGTACCAGAAATGTCGGCGCTTTTCCTCCCGGCGTGAAAACTTAGGAGAGAGTGTTGAAGTGAGGCGGGAAGCGAAAAGTAGCGAGTACCGCTACGAAAGACTGAGTGGAGCCCCAGCAGGAAGCCAGCGGAATAAATGAACCCCGTGACGTCAGGGACAGCGGTCTCGCGCACAGATAGGAAGAAGATGATGAGGTCTCACTCCTACCTGTTTCAGCTACTCGGCCTACGGAGACACGAAAAGACTTTCGACTGAGACTTTTCTCCTAATTATGACTTACTATCGTTTAATTATGAGACAGAGGTCATTATTACCTGAGGCAAAACCTGCAAGGCTTTCTAAGCCTTAAATCATCGATTTATTAGGACATCACGTTCACAGTAACACTTTCGTAGAAACTGGAAGTATCCTCGTGGTACGTTAGATGAAGAAAAATGGCAGTAGCTAGGACTAAATAAGGTTTCTGTGCAAAACCTTTTGTTGTTTCAGCACCGTAGGTGTGAAACCACTTCATCAAATTTGCATCTTTCCCATAGCAAAAGTGGGCGGAGTAAGCATCAAACAGTTCACCCTGAAAAGCATGGGCTGAGGAAAAGGAGACACAATCAGGTCATAACATTTTTGTAACTAGCGCATTTCTCAGGCGTGGGCAGTTCATTTCCCCAAGGGGCCTCGTGAGAAACTGGGACTGTTGTGGAGGGCTGCATCAAAACACAGAGCCCAGTTCAGCTCATATTAATGTTATCCTCCTTACTGTATGAGCTCATTGCTGAGGCCCTCCACAGCAGTCCTATTTCTCATCTGGCCCCTTGGGAAAATTAGTTCCTTGATAGAAACTGAAATATGATGTACTGCTGCAACAAAAACGGCAAAAGTGTGCAATCATATTTCTATTTTTGGAAATGGGTTTAATTGGTCCCATTCACTGAACCAGTGATGAGGTGGATAGGATGGTTTTAAAAGGATTAGATAATTAAAATTAAAAAAAGTGGCATGTAGATGGGTGGTTCCCAGACTGCATACACTATACTAGCTACATGTAGTTACATGTCTCCACTCTGGGTCACATGGCACACCTAACAAAGGCAGGTACTTTGAAATTCCTCACCTTGCCCAGTGAGGAAGGAAGCAGAGCCATTAAAAAGCCATGGAAGTTGTTCTAAAAGTGAGGAAAAGTAACATTATGCTGTCGTGGGCTGTCGATTTCATCGAGCCTCTTATTCCTACCGTAATGTAAATGCAAAACTTACACCAGTGTATAAGTACACTGCTCAGAAAATTAAAAGAATGCTCTGAAAACACATCAGATCGCAACTGGATAAAGAAAAAGAAATTATTCCGCATATCTATACTGATATGTACTGGGTAATGTGATATGAATGAAAGGATACCACATCGTTTGATGGAAAAGAAAATGATCAGCCTATAAAGGGCTGAAATCAAAGAGAAAAAATGATGTGGCAGGCTAATCCGTTTTGCCAAAATTTCATAGTAGCAGCTAAAAATGGTACTCAATAGATTGTATGTCCCCCAGGTGTTTGTATGCATGTGTGACAATGTCAGGGCATGCTTCTAATGAGACGATAGATGATGTCCTGGGGATCCTCTCCCAGATCTGGACCAGCATCACTGAACTCTTGGACAGTCTGATGTGCTACCTGGTGGGGTTGGATACTACGAAACATATTGTTCCAGAGTGTTCTGTTGGATTTAGGACAGGCGTCTGAGGGCCACTCAGTGGTAGTAATTCCTTCATCCTCCAGGACTTGTGTGTATACTCTGGACTGGACGGTGGTCTGTCTGATGTGCAGTGCAGGAGTCTGTACTGTCTCCATTCCTGTTCACCCTGTTCACCTCAGACTTTCAGTACAACGCCTGGTCATGCCAACTAACGAGATAATATGACAAAGTGTTGGAGTGCTTGGAAGTATTAGTGATGAGCATAAGAAAGAATACAGAGCATTAGTAGGTAATTTGTGGAGTGGCCTGAAAGGAATCATCTGGTTATGTGTGTGAATAAGAACAGAAACGATGACTGACTTCAACAGGAAGAGGACAGCTCTATGACCCGTGTCTATCCTGAGACAGGATGCTGATGTAATGTTTGAGTACAAGCACTGGGGCCTCCACATTAACAACTGAGTGAACTGCAACACCATCACAGATACTGTGTATTTCCTATGAAGCTGAGAGTCTTGTGTGTGTGCAGTAAAATTGAGATTTTCTATTAGTCATGTACGCAGAGTGCAGTGTGCTGGAGCTGGTGACACTGTGGACTCTCATCTCTCTCCCTCTTTTCTCCTCTTAAAGCAGACAGTGTTCTGAAACTTTTAAAGCTCTGCAGAAAGACTTGAGAACTGTTGCACAGCACCACTTAAAAAAACAGAAGAACGTAGTACTCCTTGGAAGCACAATATGAAGAAAAGAGGGATGTCTTGAGACATTTGGACACTAACCTCTGTCATATGTGGTCATTGTTAAATAATACACCAATCATCAGATAGCTTTATATTTCTAAATATAAAAATTCTGTGAATCTGATCAAACAGATTTTAAGAAAAAGAGAAATGCAAACAAGTTTTGCAACTTTTTCCTAAACAAAATGTACAAAAATGGGCTGATATCAGACAGAGTAGCCATCTGAATACACTTTGACTTTGATACTTCGACCAAGGAAACAAGAAAGGAGAACGAAACAGTAAAATATGCCACTGTGTTACCTGATTTTTGTGTTTATCTTTTACATAAATAAATTTGCACTGTAAATGATTGCAGAGAAGGCACAAATCAGTGCACAAGGAAAACAAAAATCATCAGAATTCAGGAAATGAAGTGTTTGAAGGTCAAAGTTTCCTGGGGGACGTCCAAAAGCTACGCTCATTCTTCCCTATTCTGCCTGCACGCTGCAGAGAAAACAGGTTAGCTTAGTTGTATCTACTGAAACCCAGAGCTAAACTAGCACTCTTACGCTGAAATAATACAAAATGGCCCCATGTTAAGTTAACAAGGACATAATAGTAGATCATCAGAAGCAAGAGACTGTGCTTTTGTTTAGCTGGGTGGACAAACTAGTTTAACAGAGACTTGTTTCATTCTGGATGAATACTGAAAGAGCAGTGTTCCAGCTCCAATATTACTCATAGACTACATTATTAAAGATATACCTTGTATACTTATAGTACAAAAATTAGAAGCTAAATGTACAGAATCACAGGCAACAGGCTCCAGATGCAAGAGCAGGGCATGAGCAGTCCTAACCAAAGAGAAGGATCTGAAATTTTTTTCCATACTTTACACAATATAAGCCAAGAGTTTACAGAAAGGCTTACATCTGCAATATCCATATTCATGAAAGAATCAAAATCTAAGTAGAACATATGGGAGTCTGGTGTGTGTGTGTGGAGAGGTTTGGAGATATCACATTTATTTGTGGAAAAACACGGGCTCTTAATGTGGAAATCAAAGAAAGAAAAAAAATCAGCATCAGTCCACGGTATGATCATGTGGGGATCAGCCTCTTCCTTAGCATTTTCCCAGTGTGGGTGGTTTGGTGGGTGCATGTGTGTGAAAGAGTGCTATGTGCTGCCAAACACAAAGCAGGCAACATTTCGCCCTCTAGTGTTCACGGCTGTGTTTGGACTTGATTCCGACGCGCAAATAACTGAGTGCTGCTCAATGAAAAGTACATAGATAGATGAGAAAAGGTCACAAAGTATTAAGGTACTTGGGATTTTTTGGGATTTTTTAAACTTAAATATTTGGATTCTCTTTGTATTACATAGTGTTATAGTGTAAAAATATACAAAACATATTGCATAAATGCATGCATGTGCAATAAAACTAACAGACCTAAAACCCCTGATTATTTTAACAAACATATAACCATTTACTTGTTTGATATCACTAAACAATATGTATACGTCACGCTTATTTACATATCTGAACGTGTATATCAAACACACACTGTTGTTGTATTCACATTTTGGCATGGAGATGCTGCTAATCCATTTTTATGCCACTGTCATTGCACAAAACAGGTGTTTCTCTGTTCTTTTGTGTTACACTGGTATCTCTCTTTTGAATACAATTACACAGTGCTTTATATTTGAATTTGCAACCCATGTAGATGAGCTAAAGTTAGAGGGCGGGACAACAATTGGATCAAAGCAGGTATATCTTTAGTATCATATGTAGCAGTTTTTACTCTCTCTCTCTGTTATGACAAAAATCTGTAACCATAGAGCCAGTTTCATGTATGAGGGGACAGGGTTCAAGATGTGCTTGAAAATCATGTTCAGATCTTTTTAAATTACTGACTTCATACACTTAATTACTTTTGGATCAAATGGTGATTCCCCCTTGGAACTGTAGCTAATAAATCTTCAACAACAGTTACTTTTACTGGAAGTTAAGAACTAGGATGAAGCGATGACTTCAGAATTGAGCTATACGTGGCGCCGACTCTTAGCTCAATTACTTTAGATTCATAGAGATATTATCTTATCGTTAACTGTATTACTGTGCCAACACAGTATATTGCTGCCAAACAGACCTATCAGATCTGCTGAGGTACGTGTCCCTGTAGCATGAAGCTACATTTCTGAGAAAGTGTATGCTAGGCTGAGGCTTCCATGGGTGGGCAATTCATTCTCCAAAGGGGCCACATGAGACACTAGGACTGTTGTGGAGGGCTGCACCAATACGCTGAACTTAGTTCTGCTCATTATTGCTTAGGCTATGCTGTAGTGTATAGAGTTAAGATGAAGCTTTCTATTTCTACGCAGTGTTACTGAGCCATGACTTCATGTTGTAGCTATGAACTGTCACCAGGGGACAGTATCAGACAATATTTCCAGCCACCTGTTTCTGTTTTTATTGGCTCTAGCTTAGCTCCTACCCCAGAGAAAACAGAAGTTGTAGCATACAAAGAACTTTATGAAAGAGTGAAGCTTGCAGTAAACTTTAAAATACTTGACTATATTTTTACATACAAAAAACTTACAGTGTTCACACGTGATGTATGCCGTACCCCTCTGGATACACAGTATGTCCATCCATTCTCTTCCACTTCTCCAATTCAGGGTAGTTGGGGGGCTGGAGCCTATACTGGCTGTCGGAGAGCAAGAGGCAGGATACACCCTGGATAGGTTGCCAGTC